GGAGGGAGAGCCCCGGAGCCACGAGTGCAGCAGAGATGGGGCCAGCGCCCACTCCCCGCTCCCAGGAGTGATCCTCGCGCGCTATGGGCACGCGTGGCGCGAGCAGCGGCGTTTCTCCGTGTCCACCATGCGCGACTTCGGCCTGGGCAAGAAGTCCCTGGAGCAGTGGGTGACCGAGGAGGCCGCCTGTCTCTGCGCCGCATTCGAGGACCAGGCCGGTCAGTGCGGAGGCTGAGGGCGAGGAGGGGCAGGGGCTGGGCACGAGAGGAGGGACGCGAACCCGCTCTGCACCCCCTTCCCTAGGGCTCCCCTTCAGCCCCAACGCCCTCCTGAACAGAGCCGTGAGCAACGTGATCTCCTCCCTCATCTATGGGCGCCGCTTTGAGTATGAGGACCCGCGCTTCCTCAAGCTGATGGACCAGATGGAGGAAGGGTTGAAGGAGGAGTCGGGAATCCTGCGCCAGGTGGGGGAGTCGTGGGGGCCCCCACCTCCAATGTACCTCCTGGGAGGAGGGTTATACAGGGGGCGCTGGAGAAGGGCATTCAGAAGGGGCCTCTGCAAGAGCACAGGCCTGGAGGGGAGAGACCGAAGACACCGAGAGGGAGAGGCGCGCCAGGGTCACAGCCCCAGGACATCCAGGGGCCTGCACCTCCCTCATCAGAAGCCATGACTGGGAGATTTCAGGTTTACCTTCGGGCAGCACAGGCCAAGGGAGGAGGTCGGTCAGGTTGAGCCCCGCATGTAGGGAGGAAGCAGGGCAAGGTGGCAACCCCTTGGGACCTGACTTGTCCAGAGGACACCTGGGCGCAGGAAGGCCCGCCCCGGACCCACACCTGTGCCCGTCCAGGTGCTGGAATCGGTCCCTGTGCTGCTGCGCATCCCGGGGCTGGCTGCCAAGGTCTTCAAGGGGCAGAGGGCCTTCATGGCTCTTCTGGACGAGCTGCTCGCCGAGCACAAGATGACCCGGGACCCAGCCCAGCCACCCCGAGACCTGACTGACGCCTTCCTGGATGAGGTGGAGAAGGTGAGGGGCAGCTGCCAGGGATGGGGGCGGGGGCTGTGGGTGGTGCCATGAGGTAAGCCCAGGGGTTGGGCCCCCAGGCTGCTGGGAGTACTGGGGGGGCCACTGGAGGGCTCCCTCCCTCTGCCCCTTTGCCCGCCCTCTGCATGGCCAGGCCAAGGAGGACCCCAGGAGCAGCTTCAACAGTGAGAACCTGCGCATGGTGGTGGCTGACCTGTTCTCTGCGGGGATGGTGACCACTTCGACCACACTGGCCTGGGCCCTCCTGCTCATGATCCTGCACCCGGATGTGCAGCGTGAGCCTGGCCTGGGGGTCGGGTGGGATGGGGGAGGCAGGAAAGGGTCAGCTATGGTCCCTGAGCTGAGTTTGGCTACGCAGAGGCTGGGTCCTGACTCTGAGGTCAGAGTGACTTCCTTCTCCACATGGGCCAGCCCCCGATTCACCCCCTCATAGGCCAGAGCCCAGACCCCACCCCCACCTCCGGGCCCTGACCCCTGAAGGGATGCTTGCCTGTCCAGACCGGGTCCAAAAGGAGATCGATGAGACAGTAGGGCAAGCGCGGCGACCAGAGATGGCGGACCAGGCCCGCATGCCCTTCACCACGGCTGTGGTCCACGAGGTGCAGCGCTTTGGGGACATCGTCCCCCTGGGCGTGCCCCACATGACCTCCCGCGACATTGAACTGCGGGGTTTCCTCATCCCCAAGGTAGGCCTGTGGCCGCCCCACCCCCGCTCAGCCACACCCACCACCTGTGCTCTGACATGGCCACTGACCGGGACCCTAGCCCCGCTCACTGCCCAGCACTGACTGTCCCGTCCGAGTGCCGTGGGGGTGAGCGCAGAGGGAGGGCCCCCGCTGGCTGGGAAGACAAGCTCAAGTGTTGGAGGAGACCCAGGGTTCAGGGCTGGGTGGCAGGGA